ATCAAACTAAAAAGTTTTTGTATGGCAAAGGACATCATCAACAAAATAAAAAGGTATCCTACAGTATGGGAGAATATATTTGTAAATGACATATCCAACAAGGTGGTAACATCCAAAATATATAAAGAACTTACACGCCTCAATACCCAAAAAGCAAATAACCTGATTAACAAATGGGCAGAGAATATGAAGAGACGGTTCTCCAAAGAAGAAATTCAGATGGCCAACAGACACATGAAAAGATGCTCCACATCACTAATCATCAGGGAAATCCAAATTAAAACCACAATGAGATATCACCTCATACCAGTAAGGATGGCCAGCATTGAAAAGACTAAGAACAACAAATGTTGACGAGGGTGCGGAGAAAGGGGGACATTCCTATACTGCTGGTGGGAATGTAAGCTAGTTCAACCACTGTGGAAAGCAATATGGAGGTTCCTCAAAAAACTGAAAATAGAAATACATTTGACCCTCGGATCGCACTTCTTGGAATATATTCAAAAAATACAACTTCTCAGATTCAAAAAGACATATGCACCCCTATGTTCATCACAGCACTTTTTACAATAGCCAAGATATGGAAGCAACCTAAGTGTCCATCTGTAGATGAATGGATAAAGAAGATGTGGTATATATATATACAATGGAATACTATTATGCTATAAGAAAGAAACAAATCCTATCATTTGCAACAACATGGATGGAGCTGGAGGACATTATGCTCAGTGAAATAAGCCAGGTGGAGAAAAACAAGTACCAAATGATTTCACTCATCTGTGGAGTATAAGGGCAAAGAAAAACTGAAGGAACAAAACAGCAGCAGAATCACAGAACCCAAGAATGGACTTATAGTTACCAAAGGGAAAGGGACTGGGGAGGATGGGTGGGAAGGGAGGGACAAGAACAGGGAAAAAGAAAGGGGGCATTATGATTAGCATGTATAGTCGGGGTGGGGGCATGGGGAGGGCTGTGCAACACAGGGAAGACAAGTAGTGATTTTACAGCATCTTACTATGCTGATGGACAGTGACTGTGAGAGGGTATGTGGGGGGGACTTGGTGAAGGGGGGAGCCTAGTAATCATAATGTTCTTCATGTAATTGTAGATTAATGACCGAAAAAATATAATAATAATATTATTGAAGGAAAAAGTCATTACATGAAAGAAATACTTCCAGCATGTATTCAGGAGGCTGTTGAAAAATAACCTGATGTTTGAGTCACTGTCCATTCTGTATAAAACAATCTTAAGCTATTCATTCCAAACAGAACACATGGTAATGATTGAAACAAACTGATGATAATGATTACCTTTTTTCAACTGAGCTATACTTCTTCATTTATTTTCTTGGCTCTCAGAAGTCAAGCGTTCTCAAAGTACCTACATTACCTCACTGGCAAGATCACCCAGAAGATAAATGTGGATCATTTACCAAGTTACAGATGATAAATCCTAGAAAATTCTTGGGTGTTACCGACACTTATCCAAAAGTTTTTGGTGCCCAGAGAACCAAGATTATAGGAAGCTGACTGGAGTTTTACAGCTGGAAGACATGTTTCAATCAAATGACTGGTTTGTCTCTGAACTCTTTGATTTCACCGAAAAGAAATGACTTCCAGATATGCAGGAAAATAAGTGTATTCAGTCACATAGTATATTCTATGATTTTTCTGTGTGCAGTGCTAGGGAGTACAAAGGACACTATCTCAATATAATTGTAATAAAAAATGATAATGGATAGCTTGTACTGAGTGCTTTCTATGTACCGCTCACCAGACAGACACTTAGAACAACCTCAAGAAAAGAATCCT